GCCAGAGCCAGCAGCAGGGTGGGCAGCGCGCTCGGCCGGGTCAGGGGCGCTGCGCCCCGCCTCTCCAGTGTCCACATGGCTCTCACTGGGGCAGCGGCTCGCTCTCCGCGGCGCCCAGCAGCAGGGACACCAGGACGCTGCGCCCAGGCACCGGCAGCCCCGCCCTCAGCCGCTGCCACCCCACTCCGACTTGGGCAGCGGCGGCGGCCTATATGGGCTGGCCTTGCCACGCCCCTGGGGAGGGCTCACCACCTCCGGGGGGCCACACTCCCAGCCGGTTCTCCGCAGCGTCACCACCGCGCGGCCCCTCCCTCACCGGGAAGCCCCTTCCCCCGTCTGGCGCAGGCCTGCTTGAGCGCGGAGTCCAGGGATCCGGCCGGTGAGGGCGCCCCCCTGCACCAGGACCGGCAGCGGGGGTGCTGGGACGTGGGGGCGTCCCAAGCGCTGCTCCCCTCGGGTGTCCCGCATCTTCCCAGCCCGCTGGGCGGACACAGCGCTCGGCAGGCCCTTGCATGGACAGGGTGGGAGGGGGACCCCCACTCAGACACCCACATCTTCCTCGCCAGCACCCCCAAGCCCCTCCGCCAAGCCCCGATACAGTGTCAGCAACTTTATTAGACAGCCGGTCACCTGATCAAAAGCAGGTCCACAGCCCACACACAGGTCCCGCCGCGGAGGGAGCAGAGGGCCCCCCACCTTCCAGTCCTGAGCTCCTGACGCTCCATCCACAAGCCGGCGGCCAAGGGAAGCGAGCCAACCCACCCCAGACCCCAAGGTGGCTTCGGGGCATCTAGGCGGGCGCAGACCCCGCCGGGAGACCCGTGTCCACGCGGTGTCAGCCTGCCCCAGTGTCTCCACGCTCACTGGGGCTCTGGCCAGAAGACCTGCGTGATGCTCTGCTTCCTGGCGGGGGCGTGGCAGGCCGGGCATGTTCTAGAAGCCTGTGGAGACAGGGAGCGCTGCACGGGCGCCACCGCCCACCCCTCCCCAGCCCACCAGCTGGGGGACCGCTGACGCGCGTGTCCACAGGCCCCATGGCCAACCTGCAGGAGCTGGCGCCAGCAGGCCCGGCAGCGCTGCAGGTCGCAGGAGGGGCACTGGAAGGGGACCGTGTCCTCCGCCCTGCAGCCAGGGCACGCCAAGCCTGCTGGGAGGGGGCCGCCGTGAGCATGCTGCAGCTCGTCCGCCCCGCGGCCCCCACTGCCCCGGCCCCTCTCGAGACCTACCCCACTCGGACGGGGCGTGCCTGCGGGCGGCGCGGGGGGGCTGGCTGGGAGCCCCGCCATCCCCAGCCTGCCTCCGGGCAAGGAAGGCCGACAGCTTGCTCTGGGCCCTCTGGGGTGTCTCTTGCTGGGGGGGCCCTGGAGACAGAGGGGCAAGTCTGATGGGGCGGGCGGCTGGGGCTTCTCTGCCTGCCGGGCTGAGTGGGGCTCGGGGGACGCTGGATTACCTGGCCTGGAAGCACCGTGGGCGAGGTCGGGGGGCACAGTGGGGCTCCCCTCCTGGGGGCCTGGAGGCCCAGTACCTGCGCTCTGGGCAGCCGGGCCCATCAGGTCTATGCACGTCTGCCGGAAACGCCGCTTGTGGTGGGGTCGCAAGAACATGCCAAACCCTGTGGGGGGAGAGTCAGGCTCAGCCCTGCCCCCAGTCCCTCCCAGCCCCTCACCCCGCCAAGTCCCCTCTGTGGCCACTTGCTCTGCAACAGGGGCAGGTCCTCAGGCCTTGAGGTTGTGAGTGCGGCCACCACGGCCACCACCCTCTCGAAGTCATCGTCCTGTTTGTAGGTGGTCAGCGCCGCCAGGAGCTGGCTGCAGCCTGCGGACCCCAGGGCCTTTCGGACATCCGCCAAGTAGGCGCTCACGGCAGGCTGGCCTTGCTTCTCTGCGCTGGGGGCTCTACGCCCCTCCTTGGGACAGCTGCCGGGGTCTCCTGGTGAGGAGGTAACAGGTCTTGGACCACGCCAGGGGTCTGGGGGCCCAGAGAGCTCCATGGGCATCCTGGGAACCCCTTCACACCAGCCGCCTCCCTCCCTCTGGAGGTGCAGAACCAGAAGAGCCCCCCGCCGCCCCGCCCCCCCGAGACTCCTCCCCGCCAGGGGTCTTCAGCTATTTCTGGTTCAGGGACGGGTACCTGCAGGGGCTGGCCCGGAGACCAGGTGGGGTCTGCCTTGGTTCAGGTGCTGTCCGGGGTCCAGCTGCCTGGCTGCACCCTGGGACAGGGTCAGCTTTGAGTCCCACTCCTTCCCTCCTGAAGGAACATGGACACACGAAGAGCTATCCAGCTGGTCCCCAAGGGTCTGGAGTGCTCCCTGGGGAGAAGGCAGGTCTATCCAAGGGGAGACCGAGACCACAACCCTCCTCAGACCACAACAGGGAGACCGAGACTTGCACCCAGGGGGATGGCATGGAGACACCCCAGTGGACACCAAGCCCAGAAAGGAGAGGGGTGACTCTCAGGCTGGAAGATCCCCTGCGAGGGGCCAAGGAGTCTTCCTAACCAGGCCCCCAAGACACATGTCCTTGGTCGGGAAGTCCCTGCTCAAGGGTCGGCTATTGAATGGGGACAGAAGCTCCCAAGCTCTGGAGACGCAGGGCCCACCATGCTTGTGCGACTTGCAGGGGGCCGGGGCCTGGGCCGTGCGTGCTCCGGGGGGGCACACACATGCAGTCGCCTGCCCTGCTCTTGGGGGGTGGCTGGAGGGTCCTGCTCACCGCTGGGGGCCTGGGCCGCCGGTGCCCACTGCCTCTGAGGAAGGCTGTGCTCGGGCCGGGAGCCGCAGCCGCGGCCCGTCCGCTGGAGGCAGGCCTCCTCAAATCGCGGCTTGTGGTGTGGCCGCACAAACTGGTAGAAGCCTGTGGGGAGGGGCGTCTGGGCCTGCGGGCTCCACCGTGCGGCCACCGTGCTGAGCCGGCCAGCCAGCCCCACCTCCTCTCGGGAGCAGGGACCACCGTGGACCCTGGTGCCCACCCCCTCCAACGGCTGTGGCACTGCCCCTCCCCCCCTGATGGGTGACTGCAGCAGGCCAGGGCACCTTGGAGCAGGCTGTGCTTCTTGGGGTCCTCAGCAAAGAGGGGGCCGAGGCAGGCCAGCAAAGCCTCCACGTCGTCGGAGCCCTTGTAGTCCTGCAGGGCCCTGGTGAAGGTGTCGAAGCTGGCCTGGCTCAGCGCCTGCTTCACGGCCACCATGAACAGCTTGGCCCTGCCCGCCTGCGTATCGGCGGCCGGCCCGTCCTGCTCAACACAGGACCAGATGCCCCATCAGCCGGGGCCACCGTGCTTCCCCGAGGGGTAGCTGCTACTGCAGAGGACAACTGCCGGGAAGGATGCCCTAGTCCCGAGGCACGGCTGCGCTGGGCTGGGAGGGAGGGGGGCGCGGCGGCTTCAGCTTAAGACAGCCATGCCCCTCTGGCAGCAGAGGAGGCCAAGTGCAGATCTGTTCGCCCTGGGCTGGGGGCTCCCGGCCCTCTGCCAAGTCCCCTGCGCCCACGCAGCAGGCGGCCCTGGCTCAAGGGGCAGTCAGCTCACAGGAAGGGGTACCTCTTGACATCCCCACGCCTCCTCTCTGCTGCACATCTCAGGCCCGCACACTGGACCCTCAGCAGGGAAGCCCAGAAAGCAGACAGGAGAGGTCCAGGCTCCCCAGTCTCCGTCCAGCTTGGCCGGATGCCAAGGCCCCTGGCACCCTGCCCACTTCCCGACAGCAACAGCCCCCCCCCAGCCCCGCCCAGTTCTTCCCAGAAGCTGAGGGACATGGACAAAGATGAGTGGTTCATGGGGCTTTCCAGAGCTTTCCTGGCTCAGATTAGCTCAGGGCCCCTCAGCGCTTTCCTCTGAGGCTGGCTGAGAAGCAGGCCCTCCCCACAGCTGGGCACGTTAGCGCCCACACATGAGCACTGACTGGGGGAGCTGGTCTGGCTGCAGGCCCCACACCGAACCTGACTTCTGTCTGGCTGGACCCTGGCGTACCATCCATAAAGTGCTCTCCCGGAAAAGCAAAACTAGACGCGAGACCCAAAGCTAACCCCAAGTGTGCAGGACTCAAAAGCATGGAGGAGCCACCCCAGGTCGAAGAGACACTGTGGGGCCTACGGAAGGCGAAGAAGGTCAGGCAGGGCAATGCTGCATGGCTGGGGTGCAGGCTGCTGCTGAGAGGCTCTCGCAGTAAGAAGTTAAAATGGAAGAGAGACTCGGAACCTGTGCGGGGCAGGGCCCGGACACAGAGTGGCACAGATGCGGGAGGCAGCAGAGACCACGCCTGAGCCCAGGGGGCGGAAGGAGGTCCTGGGAGTGGTCAGAACAGGCTCATCCACGAAGACAGGAAGCTGAAAAGATGCTCACTTAAACGTTCCAGCCAAACAGAGGTGGGGATGGCGCAGGCCTCGGACTGCCGAGGGCACGGGGCCACGCTGCCCCCCCGGGAGGCAGCAAGGGGGCCCTGCCTCAGACCCGGCCCCCCACCTCACACTCCCCGGTCAGCACCGGGTGCCACGCAGCCTGGGGCTCCTGCCCCCACCCCACTCCCACATGCGTGTGGGTGGTTTACGTACCTGGTGGCCACCGACTACCCTGATCTTCCTCCGCCCTGCTCTCTGCTCCTGGGCACGCCTCTTCTCACGTGGGAGGGACACGGTGGAGAGACCTTGTGCCTGAGGGTGACACACAGTGGTCCTGGCCGTGCCCTCCAAGCCCCCAAAGCCCCCTGTGACACTGCCAGGGCCCACAGCTGGGGAGACGGGCCCTCTCCCGAGGCAGCACCACTGGCCCCCTCGTGGCCCGCAGCTCCGGCAGCCAGCTGTTACGGTGCCTGGGGGGCTCGGACGGCACTGGCTGTTGCAGCTGGGCTTGCCCCAGGGCCCAGGGAGCGGGACAGCGAAGGGCAGGGATGCGCCCAGGGGCAAGCCGGGGGCAGGGAGCTAAGGGCTTCAGTGCGAAGGCTCCAGGGGAGGAGCTGTGCCCCCCACAGCTCGGGATCCCAGAAAGGGCTGGCCTCTGATGCAGGAGGAGCCGGACACTGACTGGCCCGGGTCAACTCCCGCAAAGCCCGCAGTGGGGGTAGGGGGAGCCCCAGCTGAGGGCCCGGGGCAAGGCAGGCACACAGCACGGCCAGGTGGCAGAGCCCGGGGGGTCTGCCTGTCTGGAGACCCCGCACCTCCTCCTCCTCCCCAGGGGAGGCCTTGTCCCCAGGTCCCGCGGCCAGCTGCTCGCTGTGCTCGAGGGCGGCCAGCAGTCCCACAGGCCTCCGCCGGGTGAGGCCCGACTCCTGCCCATACTCCACACACAGGCTGCTCTCGGCGTTCCTGGTGGCTGGCGATCCTGCGGGAGCACAGGCATCAGCAGCAGAGCCCGGGGGGCGGGAGGGGGCGGCTCAAGCCAGGTCGTCCCCCCCCGCCCCCGCAACGCTCGGGCTCAGCCAGGCACTCTGGTCATCGGGCCAGGCGTGCCACCAGCTGGCTGGAAGCGGCCCCAAGCCCCCGCCCTGCAGGGCCCCCAACCGGCCATGCCACCCCAGCACACGCACCTGAGGGTCTGCGCCTCAGGCTGGGGACGTGCACGTCCGGACTCCTGGCTTTCCTGGTGGAGAGGGGGCCAGGCGACACAGCCACCACGACAGCACCTCCTCCCTCAGCCCGACTCGGGGCAGCAGCCAGGGGGGCCAGCACGGGCATCTGCACAGGACAGGGGGTTGGGGGTCCTGCACAGACCCTTCCCCTGGGTAGGGCATGAGGACACAGCCGGCCGGCCATTAGGAACTCACAGTTTTCTGAGCAACACGGAAGAACTGGGCCACATCCCGAATGACGGGGCCAAAGCTGTCATACACCTTGACGTGGGGGCGCACCCAGGAAGGCAGCTGGGCTCTGGCGTCTGCATGGGTGAACCTGGCAGGGGGTGGCTGTCAGCTTGGGAGCCCTGCCCAGCCCAGAGCCCAGGCCCAGGCCCAGGCCCAGGCCCAGCTGGTGCCCGAGAGGCCGCGGGGCAGGGTTTGTGCGAGCCACGGAGAGCCGCACCTGTGGTCACACAAGAAGACAGCCCCGTAGTCCTGGCGATGCCGGATCACCCGTCCGATGGCCTGGTTCACGGCCCTGGACGCCTGCTGCCGGTACCACTCGTGCCCAGAGAGGAGCTGCTGGGAGGGGGCTTGGTCATGGGGGCTCCAGCCCTTCCCGTCCGCCCCCACACAAGCCCGTGGCCCCTCACCTGGCCTCCAGGCCCACCACGGCCCTTCAGCTCGTCCAGGAACTGCATCTTGAGGACAACCCGCGGGTCCATCCGTGGAGGGTACGGCAGGCCCGTGACAATCACACCTCGGCCGTTCATGTCCGCGAAGTCCAGGCCCTCGCTGGCCTGGGGAGCAGTGGGCACTCTTTTCCCCCGTTTGCCACGCCCAGACCCTCAGAGGCACACGCATCCACGTACGGGTGGGGACAGGGAAGCCTCCCACCCCGGGCTGGGCCCTCTGTGGGAGTCACAGCCCCCAGGGCCTCTCACGTTCGCAGAACTCCCGCCGTCCTTGCCACCTGCAGCCCGAGAGGGGCGCTCACTCCCAGGGACCCAGTGCTTGTCGACTGCCCAGTGAGGGACAGTAGGGCTCCGCCCTCCTAACGCAAGCTTGCTGGACTTGGGGCTCCGGGGAGGGGGTCGGGCTGGCCCATCCCACCATGTCGCAGCCCCCAGGTCCCGAGCTGAGAGCTTCCCCCCAGCACAGGCACCAGACAGGGGCTGTGAGTGTGGGACCCAGACCCTCGTGAGCCTCACCTTTCCCCGGCACACGGCCATGAAAGAGGCCCCGCTAGACCCAGGGGAGGCGACTCGCGTACAGTAGGCGTCCACCACCTGGAAGGAGAGACTGGTCAGCCCCTTCCTTCTGTGGGAGTGAGACCTCAGGTCTCATCCTCTGAGATGAACGGCTGTCTGGCTGGAAGGTGGGCCAGCAGGATTCTAGGAGCTTCCTCACGGCATGGGTTCCCAGGCTGACCCAGAGCCTGCTCAGTGTTTCCCAGAAAGCACGGGGACCCCGGGGCTCGGGGGGGCAGGGGAAGGTGGAGCCTTGCTTCAGTATCGGCCCCTCAGACACAAGGGCCTGGGGCCACCAGCCCCAGGCCCAGACAGGTCAGTTCCACGTGAGCCCCTGGTCGGGACAGTGGCCAGCCGGGGCAGCCATGAGGGGCAGTGGAGCCCCGAGAGCTCAGACCTCTGAGAAGCCACCTTTGCTCCTCGGCTCCACGAACACAGGCTTCAGGGCCTCCAGCTTCCTGGCGAAGTCATGGGCCTGTGAGAAGAGAGGGGGAAAGGGACGCCTGTCGTGTCAGGTCTCAGACCTCAGACAAAGGCCCGTGCCCTGGCCCTGCCAGACCCTTGGCTGCTTGGGGCTCCCCTCCCCACCTGGGACACACAGAAGGGGGACGCACCCGCCAGAACTCCAGGCTCTTCTCCATGACGGGGTAGGAAGGGAAGAAGACCAGGAGCCCATGGGGGACCACGCGGGCGATGTTGCCTAGAAGGGCCGGGGCTGTGCTCAGCAGGACGGGGTGTTCACAGAGGCTGCCAGTGGTTCCCACCAGGGAAAGCAGGCGCGGCAGGGATCCCCAGACACCCGGGAACGGGGTGGGAGCCCAAGACGGAGCTCAGGGCTTCCCACGGGCACTCACCTAGCGCCTTACCCAGGGAGGACAAGCATGCATCAGAAAACCTGCACAAAGCCGAGAGCCCATGGTCACAAGGGTCCCGGCACGTGGCACACAGCCAGCCCACCTCCTCACCCGCCAGGCCCCCTACCGTTTGTCAAAGGCAGAGCTCAGCTGGGCTCCATCGGGGCCTTTGGGGACAATCCCCACCCAGATCTGCTGTTTGTTGATGACGTGCGGGTTCTCTAGGCAGACGGGGAAAGGGCTGCGGGCGGCAGGGCAGCTCCTGTGAGCTCCTGAACCCCCGGATCCTCAAGCCGGGGTTGGCCTTGGCACCCCCACCCCCACAGGGCATGGGGCAGCCCTTACATCTGCATCTCCAGGGCAAAGGAGGACACGGGAGCCAGTGTGCCGCTGGTGAGGATGACGGTGCGGACGCCCTGGCGGACCAGCTCTCGCATGCTGTGGCCGGGACTGAAGCACCAGTAGCTCAGTACCTTCCCTAGGGGGACGAGCGTGAGGCTGGGCTAGACACGTGAGGCCTGCCACAGGGGCAGCCCGCCACAGGCGGCCGCTGGGCCCTGCACCCCACATGCACAAGTCTGAGCAAGGGGGGGGCCTGCCTGGGCCTTGATCTGAGTGTCTGGGCTGGGGCCCTCCTTCCTCCCTCAGACGTCCTGGGAGTGTAAGCAGATCTGGAGCAGGCCCCCAGGGGCAGACACCGGGGTCACCTCCAGAAAGGACAGCCAACCCCAACCCAGACCTGCACAGAGACTGACACGTGGCCGAGGGCACACAGAGCAGGCGTGGCGGCTGCCACTACGGGCCCCAGGCCAAAGGGCACAACGGGAAGGAAGCAGAACCCACCTCTGCTCACAAAAGGGGCAGCAGGAACCCACATTCCCCCAGAGGCAGGAGCCAGCAGGGACATCACCATCAACAAGGTTCACAGGGAGCCTGCCTCCTACTGGCCCCCACCTGGCTCTGGAAGCTTAGGACATTACAACAGAACATGCAGAAAGACTTTAAACAGAAGTCTGAAGTCCGGGCTAGCTCACGGGTCAGCAGGGATGTTTCCAGTAAGGAACAAACCACTTTCTGGGGCCAGAAAAGCCTTTTCCACCTTTGGGTCGGGATCGGCCCTGTGACAGGGAGGGCCGTGGGGGCTGGGAACTGTCCCGTCTCCGTGCAAGGCCTGGGGACAGGGCCGGCCCTCCCTGCGCTCACCCACATCCTAACTTCTCGGTAAGGTCAGCAACGGACCAACTTCCCACAGACACCCAACCCAGGGAGCGGCTATTTCTGAGAACTTACATGCTCTCTGAGGTACACAGGACACAGGGAACACCACGCCCCACTTGCCCTTGGTACCGCACACCCCGCCTATGTCAGTGTCCCATAGGGAGAGCATGCAGACACGGAGGGGAGGCCTCGGGCGCTGGCGCAAACCGCTTCCTGTGACCTCACAACATGTGAGGGGGGCACTGGCCTCCCCGCCTCTCACGGAAGCTACTTCCTGCTCTGAGAGGCCAGGTGACCTGCCAAGGTCACACTGTGAGCTTCCCCAGTTGGTGCCGGCCTTGTCCATGTTCCCAGCCCTGCTTTTCCTGTGGAAGGGCGTGGCTCCAAGAGGACCTGCGGCTGGCAAGTCTGGAAGGGGTGTGCTGGTGGGGCTGGGGGCTGGGCCCGGAACACAGGCAGGCAGGGCCGGGCCAACCAGCCATGCTGAGGAGTGGCCAGGACAGGAGCACATCTGACCTTAGGACCCACCACCCCACATGTGTCCTGCAAACCCCACTCGAAACGCCAAGTTGCAATGGGTGCTGAACTCTGCCCGGGGTGGCCAGGACACTTGCCAGGGCTGGGTGCCATGGGGCCAAACACCTTGGCCAGGAGAGGCCAGCTTCACACCAAAAGCCACAGGATGCCTGGCACAGACCCCATCCTCCTGCGTCACAAGTGTCTCCGGCTCTAGGACATGCAGAAGCCGGTGAGACCAGTAACACGGACAGAGTGCGATGCGGGGCTAGGCCTGACCTCACTGGGGGGCAACAGGGCTGGCACCAAAGGAAGCTGGGTGGCCATCAGACAGCAGGCCTCTCAGACGTGGTCTGGGGCCTAAGCCCGCCCCACCCGTTCTGCTCAGCGGGGCGGCGTTCAAGCAAGCACACTTGTGCTGACGTGAGCGTTGGAGCAGGGCACCTGGGGAGGGCACAGCAGTTGCCTTCCTGTGGGCGGACCTCTTGTGGAAGAGTCCCCGGCGGGGCGGGCGACCTGACCGTACCCTAGCTCGGCGGACGCCCAGCAGGTGACTCCGGGTAGGCTCCGGGCCATCGGCCTGCTCTGAGGTCTGTCCCCAAGGGTTCTGGCAGGCGGTGAGCTGGGAGGTCACCTGGAGCAGGCTGCACTCAGGGCAGGGGGCCTGGAAACCCGCAGCGGGACATGGGGTTGCGCTGAGTGTGTTCCTGCCCCGCCAGGCACCGTACCTTGCTTTCTGGCTGCCGTGGTGTTCCAGGCGTCTGACCGCTGAGCCTTCCTCTGGTGACTGGCATCGGGGTGGATATGGACCTGAAGGAGCAGGATGGACAATGGTACCCTGAGACCTGGCCCAGGAATCTTATGTCCTGGGGGCAGCCCCCACCTTGTAGGACCGAGACCCCCACCCAGAGCTCCCTGCCCAGGAGGCAGCGCCTACCTTGTAGGACTGAGAGACCCCAAGCCCCACGGTGGAACCGGGCGTGCCCTCAGCAGGGTCTGCACTGAACACAATCTGGAAAGCAGACGTGAGAGACAATGTCAGCAGGATGCGGTGGAGGCCACCACTCCTGCCGGGCCACCCCCACACACGGGAGACATGCTCAGGGTGCGGTCGTCCCCTGCCCCAGGTCTGAGCTGACAGCATCCCCAGCGGGGGACTGCAGGCTGAGGGGCGGGGGCTCACACCTGTCTGTCCCCTCCCACGGAAGGCCCCACTGTGCCGCAGACAGAGCCATCCCTGCAGGCGCCCGCCCCCAGCAGCCGATCCACATGCTCTCACAGGGTGCAGGCCTGGCGCAGTCAGGGAGCCAGGGGAAGGACCCAGTTCACCCCCAGAAGTAAAAGGATAAAAGTGATCCCTAACTCAAGTAACCAGAGCTGCACTCTCGGCCAAGGCAACGAGCTGAGAAAAAGCAACAATCGGGGATTCCTGGCCTGGGGAAGAACGCACGAGTGCTGCATGTTACAAACACCATCGTGCTCTACTTAGAATCCCGACAAAACCAGGTGACAAACTTTTAGAGCTAAGAAGAAAATTGAGTAAAATAGCACCACAGGAGACCAAAAGAAAAATCAGGAGGGGGTGTCGGTCCTGCCTGATGCCCGGGCCCATGGTGGGGCCGTACCAGCAGCCCTGAGGACCACTGGCTTCCTGCCGGGGCCAGCTCAGCAGGTGAGCAGGTCCTACATCATCCCGCACGCCCACCCTGCCCCTCCCGCAGCCTGCCTCCTGCAGTCTCCAGTCTGGGTCAGCTGCAGACCCCCTTTCTCACACTACCTTGAGGGATCTGAACTTGGAGAGGTGCAAGGCTCTTCAGCCCAGCTGGGAACTCATGGTGCAGCCCCTCGTGTATTCACCACAGGCTGCCTGTCTGGCCAGCCCACTGACCCACTGAGGTCCCAAGGCTGGCCCAGTGCACCCACCTTCCCACAGGAGCCAGCTGTGGGATGAGCAGCCACCCAATCACACTCCCTCCAACTGGAAGGGACACAGCAGAGTAAGAAGCAGGCCCACAGGCAGCACCAGGTAAGCAGGGACACTGAGTCATCTGCGAGGCCTGCTTAGAGCAGATGCCAAAGGAAATTCCAAACCAATGGGGTGAGGGGTGCTTGGGCTCCAGTGAGTCTGTGAGAAACGATCCTGCCCCATAAACAGGCACTCTGGGGAGGGGAGGGGGCTGCACAGGACTGGGAGTGAGGGCCAGGGGCTGCAGGGCTGCCTTGGAGCAGGGCACCTGGGGAGGGCACAGCAGTTGCGGCCCAGGGCCCCTCATCTGCAGGGACCCTGAGAACAGTGGGGAGCACGGGCGGAGAGCAGCTCAGAGGGAAGGGCCTGCCTGGCAGGAGCCGCAGACAGGGCCCAGGGTGCCGGAGGCCCGACAGTCACAAGGGGCCGTGGCTCCAGGCAGCAGCGGTCTGGGGCACCTGCTGTCCCCTCACAGAAGTGCTGGGAGGACGGCAAGGCAGAGCCCGGCACCTTCGGGACAACGCCTGTCCACACTTCACACTCGAGGACAGTGCTGGTGGGGCCTCGGCGGGTCTGTGGGACGCGCGCCGGGCTCTCCCTGGGCTGCCGGGTCACCCCTCCTGCCGCCCCCCTGCAGACCTCCCACCGGGGTGCACAGACACAGGGCAGCTGCATCACAAACAAGGCTGGACACGGACCCAGGGCCCTCCAGCCCTCGGAGCCCTCACACAGCGAGGGGCACCCTGAGTGCCGGGGCCGCCCCGGCCTGGCCATGCGGCAAGAGCATGAGTGCCCGGAGGCAGTCTCTCGCACCGCAGAGCACAGGGGGCTCCTGTGCCTTGGCTTCATCGGGGACCTCTGGCCGCTGAGAGTCCTCTTCAGAAAGGCCTAGCAAGGCGAGAGAGGGCCCTCAGCAGCCGGCCCGGCAGCCACCCAACCAAGGGAAACAGAGCCTGGCTCATCCACTTGAACTGAGAAAATGGCTCAGCTGGACCCGAGGACGGCTGGACACAGGTCAGCACACTGGGGGTGGGAAGTGGCCATGTCCACAGACCCTGAGGTGTGTCCTGACCCCACCGGTTGCCTGGCCAGGGAAACTGAGGGTTTGCATGGGGCAGGAGGGGCTCAGCAAGCCCTGGGGGCTGCCCCCCACCCCAAAGTGGATCCCAGAGGACATGCTGACCATGCCTGTCAACTCTGAACGCCAGCCCCATGGGCCCGACCTGGGCTCATAGGCATTGCCCAAATGCATTCACTCTAAAAGTCTGAATGCCTCTCTGGGTGGGCTGGCCCAGGGACCAGATATGGGGTTGGGAAGACAGAGTCTATGCCCGTTCATTCTCTGACAGGCTCATGCTTTGACTTTCCTCTGAAAAACTGATTTAAGAAATAATTTGAGAAAAGATGAGGGCAGACGGTGAGGCGGCAGCCACTAAGCCTGTCTGAAAACCAGGGGACTCTGCCAGGCCCTCATCCCACCCGGCCCTTGAGCACCTGCCCTGGACAAGACTGACCAGAGCAGCCGAACATGGCCCTCTCCCCCAAGGCCTGGCAGTGTGCCTTCAGGGCAAGAGGAAACGCGCTGCAGGGGCCGTTGATTCGAAGCACGTGGTGTGGGTGCCTTGGTCTTGCCCCAAGTCTGGAATCAGTAACAACTCCAGGATAAGAATGCACCCCTTCACTTCCATCATGAAAAAAGATGCCCAGTCTTTGCCACAAGCCCGTCCCTACCTGGATGATGTCCGAGAGCTTCTGCAAGCCCGCTGTGTTGGTGAACAGCCCCGTACCTGTGGGAACAGCAGACACTGGTCATCCCACGCCCCCACCAGGGGAGGCACCAGACCCTCCACCCTCAGGGGCCTCGAGCAAGCTCGGCCTCAACCCAGTGTTGGTGTGGAGCATGCCCTTGGGGGTCAGCAGGATGAGAAAAGAGGCTCTGTGGTCAGTAAGCCTGGGACTGCCAGGCCAACCCCAGGGCCCAGGAGCACAGCAAGGCTGGTCATCCGAGATGAGAACGAGACCCCAACCAGCAGAAGTGGGCCCACAGTGCAGCCTCAGGGTGGAAATAGGATGCACAGGGGGGCTCAGGAGAGAGGCTGGTGGGACCCGCGGCTCACGGACCCACCAGGTCCCTCACCGCTCTTCCTTTGAAGGGCCGACCAGGAAACAGTAAAGCTGGGCTGTGCTTTACAAAACACAGGCCCGTCCAACGGCACTGATGCCCCCCACCCCCGATGTCGCAGTCAGAAAGGGAGCTCCGGGGGTGACATTCCCGCCTGGGGCTGTGGCAGGCTACAGCCCTGAGTCAAGGCCCAGTGTGGGACTCACGTCCTGCCAGGTGCTGGATGATTTGGTCCAGGGAGTCGAGGATGCAGCCTTTGGTCTGAAACGTTATCTGGGCCTCAGCAAACAGCTCGAAGATGTAGCTGTGAAGGAAAGAGGCTCAGGCGGGGCGCCAGGCTGTGCTCAGGGAGCTGCTGACAGCCAGTGGCCTTTGACGTTCCCTTCCCTCAGACACTCTGGAGGACAAACCCAGAGGTGAAAGAGGCCTGTCCCCTCAGGAGCCCTGAGCGCCGAGGAAAAGGCAAGGCCCCCAAGGGCAGCTCTGGGAGGCAGGGGAGTCCTGCCGTCTTGGGCCTCGGAGGCGTGGGCAGGGCTGGTCAAGGAGCCTGGCTCATCTGGGAAGCAAGTGGGAGCCCTGTGAGGCTCTGAGCACAGCGCAGCAGACGGGCTCAGGAAGAAGAAAAGCAGCAGTGCTCCAGCACATTCTAGAACATTCCACACCTCCAGAACCTGAGCCTGGATCCCAGCACAGCCACTGGCTGTGCCCTGAGGAAAGCTACAACCAGCCCCAGGCCATGATCCCTTGTCTGCCTCTGGGAAATAAACCCAGCTGCCCTGTGCCCTGGTCAGAGCCGTCCGGGCCTGCAGAGGCAGGAGGGGGCGGCTGGTGGCAAGATGCATGAAGAAGCAAGCGTCTCACTCTGAAGGGCTGGGCCAGGAGCTGTGCCTGCATACACAGTAGTCCCAAGACTCCCAAGACGACCTAGTGCACAGATGGCAGCCCCTCCTGGGCCTCCAAAACCCAAACAGACATAGGCGTGGGGGCAGGGCAGATGGACCGGTGGAAGGAGAGCCTGGCACACCCACTGTCCTTTACCTCCCTGGCTTGGTGACACCGCTGTGGTCCCCAGGCAGCTCGACAGCATCGATGGCCCCCTCCAGGCGAAGCAGGATCACTGCAGGGCAAGGGATCGTCAGGTGTTGCCCGCCCAGCCACGTGCAGTGGGGGAGGGCCGCACTTACTCTTGAGCTTTGCGATGTCTTCCAGCTCCATGTGCAGCCCTGGGGGAGCAGCAAATGCATGGTCACGGTCTATTTCTACCCACTGCGTCCCTAAGAGCCAGGACTCGGGCTGGATTCCTGCCTGTCCCCCAAGTAAACGTGACCACAGACAAGTAAACAAGGCTCTGAGATCCCTACAACCCGAACGTGGGCCGGCAGCAGCAGTTCGAGCTCAGGGACACTGCTCATGCAAGTGCATGCACTCCCTGGCCCTGCTCACCGGAGACCCAGGACAATGACTGAGCCAGCAACAGAGGGTCCCCGTGCCCGCATGGTGGGCCTTGAGAGACCATCTCCCAAGAGAAGAAACCAGGGTTCCTTGGAGACATGGCTGATGCCAGGTGTGGGGCAGGAAGTGCATGAGTGAGTGAGGAATATCCTGACTCCCCATCAGCGCCTGGCAGGGCCACGGAAACAGCTGAAGAGGGGATCTTTGAGTTCAATGACAATGAGGCTTACAATAGACTGAGATCATCGCCTGCGTTTATACATTAGTACTACTGATGACGTTAAAAACTACTCTTCTTCTGAGGGGGACAAGGGATCGATCACAAGTCAGGAATAAATTCTAATTCCCAAATTGGAAAATTGGGAAAAAGTCAAGCATCTATCCTGCTTTTCCTAAGAATGGTATCACCAAGCAACCGCTGAGGCGCAGAGCCTCTTTATAAAACTTTCCTCCCGGTAAACTGAACGACACAGTTGGCACATCACCCTCTCTCCATCCCCCAGCACAGAGCACGATGACATTCCCGTGGACACAGTGAGAACCAGCCCCAGCACGCCTCCCGATGGGAAGACACACCATGGCTCGAGCCTGGCACATGAGGAGAGGCCTCAGGAGAAGCCACACTGTCTGCGGTCTTCTGCTATGGTGGCCCACACCCTTGCCGACACCGGTCCCTGCCCCTCGGCTGGCACCCACTGTCCCACTGGGTTTGCAGGGCTGCCCCCCCCCCCCCGGCGGCTCGCACTCACGCCTCCATGTGCATGCTGACCACTGGGACGTCTATTCTAAAGAAGCGTCTCTTCCTATCTTTTGCCCACTTTTAATTGGGTTGTCTTTTCCCAGAGTGGTAAGAGTTTCTTTTTTCTTTTTCTTTTTTTTTTTTTTTAAAGATTTTATTTATTTATTTGAGAGAGAGAGAATGAAAGACAGAGAGCATGAGAGGGAGGAGGGTC